ATAATAATTTAAAATGATCAGAGAGGCACAGGGTAACGGTTGATGCAATCCACCCAAGGATTGTTCCTAGCTGGCTTCTTCACCTTCCTCATTGCCTTCCAAACCACACTGTTACACTTAAAACCCGATCCGAACGCAATCTGCCAAACCCTATCACCTCTACGAACACTTTCCTTGGCCTCCAAGTAAGCTAGCTCGTACCAGATTCCACTGCTAGAAGTGTTTCCAAACCTGTGTAAAGTCATCCTAGAAGCCTCCATGTTCTCTTCACTCAAGCCTAGATTCTTCTGAAGCTCCTCAAGCACTGTTTTGCTTGCTGCGTGGAAGCAGAAGTGCTCGAAGGCAAGCTTGTAGTCCGGAATGTATGGCTTGGAAATATCAGAGGAGGATGACTTGGCTCCGTTAGTTTTGGCGGTGGCAGAGGAAGAGGAGGTGGTTGTTTTGGCGGCGGGTGAGAAAGTTCGGCGGAGCAAAGCGGCAAAGAAGAGAAGCTGCTCGGAGAAAGGGAGGACGAGAGGGCCTAAAGTAGTGATGTTGGTCTTAAGAGCTTCACCTCCAACTTCCATTAGGTCTCTGCTTATCTTCAATCCCTTGAATCCTTGTTCATCTTCTTCCTGGTACACACTCCTAAAACCATACACAACTTACGACGTTATGAACTTGTAACAACCAAGCCAAAAGGTCAATTTCCTGGTTATAAAAAAAATATCAAAACCTGAAGCTACGATCGTCGGCAGCTTTATGAGTCCGGACAATGTGCTCGAGGCGGTACTTAGCGTGGCGGAAGTCACGGCGCCGATTAGAGAGCATAACGGCGGAGCAACCCATCCTAAAGAAACAATTAGGTATAACCATTGACTTGTCACGTCCGACGTACCAATTATAACCAACCATCTCGGTACTCACAACCACCGCGTAACTATTCGGGTTAGACTGAAGCATGTCACGAGCAAGATCAACGGCTATGATTCCAGCAGAGCAGCCCATTCCTCCAAGATTGTAACTAAGTATGTTCCCTCTCATCCTGTAATGGTTAATCACCATTGCTGATAGTGACGGAGTTGGGTTAAAGATGCTGCAGTTAACCACAAGGACACCTACGTCTTTCGGTTTGACACGTGTCTTCTCGAAAAGCTCGTCCAGTGCTCCGAATATCACCATTGAGGCTTCTTCACGACCTTCTTTCATCGTTGTTATGTTTTCAGAGGAAGAGATTGATCTTGGTACGTACGTCTCGTCTCCTACGCCTGAGGCTTCTAGGATCCTCTTCTTGAAACCAAGTGTCTCTTCGTCAAACTTCCCTGATTTTCGAGCTAGATCTATGAACTCTTCTTTTGTTACCTGAACCAATACAAAACAAGCGGAAAACATTGACCCGTTGATAACCTAAACGGAATTGAACTAATTCTGTTCAGATTCATTAAATTTTCAGTCCGGTTCCTATCGCTCTCCTTCGTAAATAAAAAAAGTTAAACAAAAAAAAAACACACATTGAATGAAAATTAATAGTCAAACCGGTTTTATTTGGTATTTCCAGTTATCTGTTTTCTCAGTATTTACGAAATTATGCTGTTTTTGATTAAGCCTAACGGAAATCGAGAAGAAAAAATGATTACTGACCGCACAAAGATGCGAAAATCTGGTTTGGTTAGAATTTTTGGGAGTTTCAGAGCATCCCTATAACTGAACCAGAGATAACCGGAACTGAATAGAGTTTAATTTGGTTCAGTTAATTTAGTCATCAGTCCCGTTACTCTCCATCTGCTTCGATTATATAGTCCTAGATAAGGTTTTTTTTTAAAAAAAAAAATAATAAATACAGAAAGCTTACTAAAAAGAAATGCAGTTTAAACCCATTTCCTTCGATTCGGTATATTTTTATTTAATCTAACAAAATTCGAAAGGTTTTAAAAAAGTAATTACAAGACCAAACAAATTTTGTTTTATTATGTTGGGTTCTACATTTCTGGAGTTTCATTCAATCCCTACTAATTACTTTTTTTCTTTTGTAATACTCTTTAATTAATTCATCTACTCTAATTCTAAATAAACTATTTACGTTTTCAAAAACGAAGGGGAAAAACACTAAAATTTAGCTGATTTGCTCTATGAAAAGATTGATTTGTACGTACCTTGAGCTCATCGGAAGGCTTATAACAAGCGAAATCAATGAGATAAACAGAGCGAGGACGAGACATGAAGTAGACACAAATGGTTAAGACAAAGACACCGAAGAATCCGATGACAGTTGCAAGATCATAGTCCCAAAGCTTCCTCCAAATCTCTTCTCTGCTTAAACTCCCAACCTCGGCACTAAACACAAGCACAAGAACCGGTATGGTCGCCAAGTAAACCGCATGGTTGATGAGGTAATGGTAACCAAGTTTCACGTACTTCAAATTCACCGACTGAAGAAAATCAGGCAAACGTCTCCGGACTCTGACGGAAAACGTCGGCGAACCGGCGTTAGGGCCAGAAGGTTCGATCCCACAGTTGACAATCTCCGTAGAGAGTAGATCTTGTTCATTGGATCTACTCATTTCTTTTTGTTTTTAGTTTTTTGAGATAAGCTATGTGACTGATGAGATCTAGAGGTTAATGAGGGTATATTTTTATAAGGAGTTATGTTGGCAAAAATGTGAATGCGTTTATGTAGTTATACGAGAGTAATGGTAATATTGTGGGGGTTGGGTTTGGTAGTTGGTGAAAGGTAGTTAATGTCGCCAACTACTTGTACTGGTCGTAGTTGGAGTGAGTTATGTCACTCTTAAATCTTCCGTTTAAATAAGGTGTAGTTTTGGATCTTATGTTTGCATTTATTACAATCTTGTATGTCAAAGGCTAAGCTAGGTGACCACTTTTTGACAATTTGTCAATTTCGATATCCGGATCAGTTCTGTTTATTGATTTTCTTTAGGTGATTTTTATAAAAGAGGACTTTGGTTGACCGTGGAATCGTGGGATAGTAGAAAACGAAGAAAAAACAAAATGCATCTTATATACTAATAAAAGTTGAAGTTAAATGATTCTAAGGGTGCCTACATTGATTTAAAAAGACAATTTAATTGATTCACATAAGGAAATTAAAAAAGTTTATAAATTCTAATATTATTGCTGAATAAAAAAATTTTGTATAAATTTTGTATTGGTTCACCGCAACATTGAAAATTAAAAGGTTTACAAATTTTATTATTATTTTAAAAGTTATTAAAGATAAAAAAATATATATATAAAATTTATATTAATAATAAAAAACTAAAATATATAATATTAAAATAGGAAAATAGGAAAATCTTAAATTTAAATTAGATGTATGCACACATATTTAGGGACTCTTACATTTGCATTCAAATTTTTGTCACATAACTCTAATAAATTTTAAGTTTTTTTTTCTTTGTGTGCAACCATTTCAATGAAAAAATAGATTTAGGTTTCACTAAAGAATGAGTTATTACAACATAAAAGAACTAATTTGACTAAGCTATCAATTTAAATATTAGCTAAATTACAAAGAATATGATGAAATGAGAAAAAATAAAGCCACTACAAACTGCTTTAATATTGGAAATCTTCAAAGTTTGTTCAACGAATTTGAGAAGAATGAAAAATTTCAACCAATCTGAGAAACATGTAAGTGACTGATATTCGATACTTTAAAAAAAACAAAGCACTGAAAATAGAAAAAGAAGTTTCATCATTAAGGCGAAAGAGATTGAGGTATCCCTGGAAGATTTTTGGAATAACATGGCATATGACGGAGTTTTAACAATGCAACCTGAACCACAAAAGTAACAATTAGCTGACCAAACAGCATTTGAATACATTCGGTAAGCTTCAAAACAAGGAGGAGAGACCAAAATCACTTGCTGCAACGAGCCTCTTGTGGGATCTTCCAGCTTTGATTTCTAAATCTATTACTAATAAAAGTAAAAAGTTCAAATATGATTTAAATCTATATGCCTCTAAAAGTGTCCACATAAGATTTAAAATTTTAATTATATTGGTCACATCAATATTTAAAATTAAAAAAAAAATTCCAAAATTTAAAATTATATTGTTATCAAAAAATATATTTATAAAAAAAAAAAAGTTGAAGTTATATACCTCTAAGAACATCCACATAAGATTTAAGAGGTCAATTTTATTAGTCCATATCAATAACTAAAATTAAAAAAGTTTATAAACTATAAAATTACATTGTTAATACTAAACAATATAGGAAAATTTTATTAACTCAAATTATTCTACTATTAAAAACATTTAAAGCTATATTATTCAAGGCATCCACATCAGAATTTAAAATTCTACTTTTAGTCATATATATCAAAATTTTAAATTTAAAAAAAAAATTCTAATATTATGGTTAATAAAATGGTTAAGAAAATAAATTAAAAAATAAAAATATCTTTATTAACAAAAAAATTACATGATATTAAAATCTCCATTATCACTGTTTAAGTTACAAATTTAATTTATTATCTATAAAAAACATATATGCTACTTATACAAGATTAAATTACTTGATTTTATGGCTTTTCACGTAAAATTTTATGATTTATATTCATCTAAATTTTCGTCACATATACAAAACATATTTTCACATAATCTCATGTAATATATTATGAAAAAATGATCGAAAAAATTACATTTTATATATTCGATTTAGAATTGCAAAATATATTTAATTAACATATTTTGTGTGATTTTATTCATTTTATATTCAACTATTTTTTTAGTTTTCAATTTAAATTTGTTATTAATCTCAAAGAAAATATTTTATTTATTATTTTATTTTAAAATTAATAGATCAAAATAAAATTTGTATTAGTTAAACAAGAGAAGAAAAAAAATTAAATTTGAATATTATTTTTTTTATTTTTTATAAAAAACACATATATAATTGAAATAAAAGTAAAACTGATGAAAAAACAAATTTCTCTTCTTGATTTAAAGAAGTGAATGTATATTAATTTTTTTTTTTTGTCAACAGCGTTAACTACCTATAACGGGTCAGCTAACCAACTCGGAGGAATAGAGTTTACATAAATGACTTCTTGGGGGTAGGTCCGGGCACTCCGTGCCAGATTGTCCGCCCTCGAATTCTTTGTGCGCGAGATATGTGTTAGGAGGAAGAAAGTGAAGCTATCCTTCATTCGTCCAATCTCCTCCAAATGTTGGGCGAAAGCTGGCCATTCATCGGGTGTAGCCACCATCTTCAAAATTTCTGAGCAGTCTGTTGCAAAAGCTACTTCCTTTTTCTGGTTGAGGATCATGCAGTGCATCGCCCATATGAGGGCCTCTAACTCTGCGTGCAGAGCCGAAAGACTCCGTCTTACGTTCTGTGCTCCCATTATTGTGTCTGTGATTCCTTCTTTAAAATAATACCATCCTAGTCCTGCGTATGAATCCGTATCTTTCTAAGAACCATCTATGTAACACCACCAGCCCCCATAAACCGGGTGTTGTAAGCATTGAACATTAGAAGAAATCGAGGTGGGCTGCTCGTGTGTCTCCTTCTGCGCCTCTTCCCACAGATTCGCCTCTGTTTCCGCTATTTTTAACGTGACTTGTGGATCAATATCTTTGTTCGAGTATACCTTTTCATTCCGCACCTTCCATATATACCAAGCAATCCAAGGATATTGAGTATTTTCCGTCCCTTGTGGGGTTCGCCAGAAAAGATAATCAAAATTTGCAAAAACCGATGGTCCCGGGAAAATCCCAGGGGGCGACGGTACTTGGGATAATGCCCAGGTCTGTAAGGCCGGGGGACATTCAAACAAGACATGATTAATTGTTTCTTTCTCTGCTCCGCACCGCGCACATTGCGTGTCACATTGTATTCCCCGAGTGCGTAATCTATCTGGTACTGAGAGACAGCCGGATAGAGCTTGCCAGATAAAATGCCGTAATTTGGGTGCACAATTTAATTTCCAAGCATATGCTTGTAGTGCTGTGATGTCTGGACCATATGGGTCCAACTTGGCTTCCACGAGGAAATTCCTTTCCGTCTGATAACCAGATTTAACCGTGTATCGTCCGGTTTTTGTAAAATGCCACCCAAGCTGATCTGGCTTGTACGATCTACTAGTAGGAATTCCCCGAATAATCTCTACATCCCCCGGATCAATGATCGCCGACAGCAAACCTAAATTCCATGATTTTGTCTCTGGATCAATCAGATGATTAACCATAAGGTTTGGGTAATAGTTCAAACCCTTACAAGTGGCTGGTCTCGGGCGAGAGGCAGGTATCCAGGGATCGTTCCAGACAGAGATTGAACATCCTGAACCCACTCTTTTAATTAGTCCTTTATTAACTAGAGCGCGAGCCGAAAGAATACTTCGCCATCCATACGATGGTGAGTAGGATTTCACTGGGTCCAAAGGACTTGCATTCCGAAAATATCGTCCTTTGAAGACCCGGGCAAACAAGGAGGTTGGTCTATCGATGAGCCTCCAAAGCTGTTTTGCCAAAAGAGCTGTATTAAAGTCCTCCACATCACGAAAACCCATTCCACCTTCCGATTTGTCTGAACACATCTTTTTCCACGCTATCCAGTACATACCACGATTACATCCATCTGAACTCCACCAGTATCTGGCCGCTGTACTGGTTAGCTTTTTGTTGTGGCTTTGGGCAACCGGAAACAAGACATAACATAAGTTGGCATTGCTGATGCCACTGATTTGATTAGAACTTCTTTACCCCCTTTAGATAACAGACGCGATGTCCAGCTATTGACCCGTTCATTTTGTCTGTCCACTACAAAATTAAATATCTTAGTTTTGGCTCCATCTAAACTCTCCGGTATTCCAAGATAGGATCCCGTCCCTCCGTCTCTGGAAATTCTTGTAATCTGCCTCATTTCATCCCTAATGACTTTTGGAACCATGTGACCGAATTGTATCGAAGATTTTTCGAAATTAATTTGTTGGCCCGAGATACTTTCATACTGTTTCAGTATGGCCAACAGCGTCTGGCATTCCTCTTTGTTTGCTTTACAAAAGAATAGACTATCATCCGCAAAGAGTAAGTGTGATACTGGGGGACTTGCCCTTGCAATCTTTAGGCCGGTTAAGAGCTTATCCTTTTCAGGTTTTTTGATATTGGCTATAAGAACTTCTGTACATAAAATAAACAAATATGGGGATAAAGGGTCCCCTTGTCGCAGCCCTCGTTGCGGAATTATTTGACCCTTTGGTTGACCGTTCAAAAGAACTCTGTACTTAACAGAGGTAATACACCGCATCATCCACATAATCCATTTTTCCGCAAAGCCTAGTCGTCTCAAAAGATTCTCTATAAAGGTCCATTCAACCCGATCATAGGCTTTGCTCATATCCGTCTTAAGTGCCATGTACGTACTCTTACATGATTTGTTGGTTCGAAGACCATGAAACATCTCCTGAGCGATAAGAATATTGTCAGAGATCAGGCGGCCTGCCACAAAGGCTGATTGCGTCTCCGAGATTAGTACTGGTAATAATTTCCTCAGTCTTTGACCTAACACCTTAGATATGATTTTATAGGCTACATTACAGAGGCTTATAGGACGCAACTCTGTCATTCGTGTAGGCCGCTCTGTTTTTGGGATTAAACAGATGTTTGTCAAGTTCAGCTTCTCTTCGAATAACCCTGTCTCCAAGAATTCATTGACTAGCCGTACGAGATCCGCTTTAAGAATTGGCCACGACCGCTGGTAAAACAGTGCAGTCATGCCATCAGGTCCCGGAGCTTTTTCTGGGTTCATCATAAAGAGTGTCGTTCGTATTTCCTCCTCCGATGCTTGTGACGTTAGCATTGCATTATCTGATTCTGAAATTAATGTGGTGATTTGTCCCAAAGCGTCAGCGAATTCCGTTGGAGAAGTCGTTGTAAAAAGTTCTTCAAAATAATGGACTGCCACCTGTTCGATCTCTTTTTCAGATGTAACCCACGTGCCCGCCGCATTGTGCAATCCAATTATCCGATTTCGCGCTCGTCTTTGCTTCACTAGAGCATGGTAATATTTGGTATTCTTATCTCCTGCCTGTGCCCATTGAGTCCGACTCTTTTGTTGCCAGTATAACTCCTCATCTTGATAAGCTTCTTTCAGTTTTTTTGCTATGTCCCTCAATTCCTCCTCTGAGCGCGTGTCATCATTTTGAATTTCCTCCAGTGCCTGTTTCAGCTCTTCAATTTTGTCCCTCCCATATGGTTGTAGTGTTTGCCTCCATTTAGAGATCTCTCTTCGGCAATTTTGTATTTTTTCCGTAAAGGTCACTCCACCACCAGGATCTAGGCTCCAACCCTTGGAGATGGAGTCCATTAAGCCCTTCTGTCCTACCCATCTCTTGTCAAAACGAAATTGAGATCTTTTCCATGGAATTTTATTTTCGATTGTGGCGACAATTGGCCTGTGGTCCGAGCCAATCATACCCAGATACTCAACATATGATTGTGTGAACAACTCGTGCCAGTCCTCATTCGCAAGAGCCCGATCTAATCTGCATCTAACAATTTTTGCATTTCTTCTGCCCCTCCAAGACATTGTATCACCAAGGCATGGAAATTCCAGAAATCCACAGTCCCGTATCATAAGATTAAAGGACACGAATGTGGACGCCTGTCGTAACTTGCCCCCTTGCTTTTCGTTATTACAAGTAATTTCATTCATATCTCCTATAATAAACCAAGGCGCTATCCTTGTGAGACTTATCCGAGTTAGTCTTTCCCATACCTTGTCCCGCATTTTTACGACCAGATCTCCATAAATAAAAGAAAGGAAAACCTTTTTACCAAGAATACTTGCCTCAATATCAATAATTCGATTATCCGAGAATAGAATTGAAACATCAAAAACATCATTATAAAATAAAGCAAGTCCACCACTTGCACCGTATGGTTCAACCGTGTACATCTTATTATAACCAAAATGAAATTGAAATTTTTATAAAAAAGAAAATTCTTGTTTAGTTTCTGAAAGAAATAAAAACTCTGGCCTATATTTCTTCCAAATTTCCCAGAGATAACTTATTGTCCACCTGTTCCCGAGTCCTTGACAATTCCAACTAAGAACTCTCATCCCTTAATCGATGTGCTATGGTTTTGAGTCCGTCTTCGGGTTTGATGAACCCTTAGGGATACTCTGTATGTTGCTCTCTCCACCGCGGTTCTGAACCTTTGCCGGTTGTTTCTTTCTGGGTGACGCTAAGGCGTGAACCAAACGCTTCTTTGAGTTGCCACCGAAAAACTGCGTAGTGAGCTTGGGAGTCCTCTTCCTTGCATCTGGTTTAACCATCTCATTTTTAGCAACTTCACCATGTTTAACCTCAGTTGACAATTCTGTCAAAGCAATGTCATCCTGATTCAGCTCCTTCTCACCATCCTCAACCATTTCCTGAATCATCTGTAAAACCTCTTCTGTGTTTCCCAAAAACTCTCCTTCCTCCTGATCCAAGAGAAGCTCGTCGTCAAAACTCCCCTGGTGACCTTCCTTTGGTGCCGTAAACGATGCATCTGTTTCCTTCCTCTCCTCCATTGAAATCTCCATACCGTGAGCATTTGCTGTAATTTCTTCTCCTGATTTCGCTTCCTGTTTTGAACCAGAATCAGACCCGATCCCGAGTTGAGGATTTCTTGACAAGTCCTTGTTGCCCTCATCTTGTGTTTTCTGAGCTACTGTGTCGTCCTCCTCAAAAGACAAGCTTTTCCGCGCCGACTTTACCCGAGATTGATCTGCTCCCTCCTCGATGAAAGCCTGTATCATCTGGTCCTTCTCGTGACCCCCTTCTGCTCTCTTTTGTGCCTCTCTTGGGTGACTATACCCCGATGATTTTCTGTACCGGGATGAACTTTCACCAACCCGCCGATCCGACCGGACTCTGAACTTGCCGTATTTATCATCATAATGGTTTTTCCTTTGTCCACCACGTTGATCTATCTCCTTGCCCTTGTTCTGACTTTGACTGTTGTCTTTACTTCCAGGCTTACCATTTATCATAGCTGCCTTGAACGAAACCGCATCTGAATCACCTCTGGAGTCGTCGTGATCCTGCTCAGCCAATCGCCTACTGGTTTCCGTCGCTCGCTCTGGACACCTCTGATAATCGTGACATAAGCTAAAGCATTCACGACAGTACCCGAAAAGTCGTTCATACCGCAGGTAGATTGTTGTCTCTTCGCCACCATGAAACTCCACCGTAGTTTCGAAACACAATGGTTTCAACCCGTCCACGATGACCTGAATTTTCCCCTCATCCAAATTAACCGCTTCCACTTTTCCGAGTGCTTTGCCAATGGTACGGAAGGTCAAATCTGCCCAGAAGTGAAGAGGCACGCCAATGACCCTAATCCAGAACTTAATAGC